ATGCACTGCTGCTTCCACTGTGTGACTGACACCGCCAACTTTAACATGACGTTTACATCGCTCTTATTGTGCACGTTCTGTTTGGGCTTCAGGCAATGAGTGGAATTACCGAAATAAAAAAAATAAATAAATGGGATGTAGCACAAAATGTGAAAACAGGAAAATACCGCCTTGTAATCCACTTATTTCAGCAAAGTAACTGTAATCCAATTACCACTCATTGAAGTAGTAACTGTAACGGAATACAGTTACTCATAATTTGTACTCTGATTACGTAACAGCGGTACATGTAATCCGTTACTCCCCAACACTGGTTACAGTTCATAAAATCAAACATAAAAACAGAATGTCTTTATAATGACCAGAGCCTCATAACAATTCTGTAACATCATTCACTCCCAGTTCTCTCATTAAAACATAGAGATAACTCATTTGAGACGTTTATAGAGCGGACATGAGCTTTTCAGATTCACACGTGAAACAGTTCAGTTTGTAGCCGTGGTATAAGTGCATTAAAACAACACTGTGTGTTCTGTCATTTTAACACGCTGCAGAGTCATAGAACACCACAATGCACAGTTCTCTTTGTTATTATAATACACTCTGAGCTGCTGTGTCCAAGTAATTTTCCTTGTGGAACAATAAAATCTGTTTAAGTCTTAAAAAAGCAATAAAAAGTTTATTCAAATCAGAATGTCACAATAATTGCCAATATGAAAATAACTGAACAAACTGGCTCGGCCCAAACCATAGTGCTGCTCTGTGATTGGTCTGAAGTGTTGTTAGTCCCGGCAGGAGCGTGTCCACATGGATTCTGGACACAGTTGCGTTGTCTGGTTAGTTTAGGCGACGTTAAACCCACTCACGCCTCTAGATAAATGGACTAAGTCAGATTAGAAGGATTATGGGTGAGGGCGCTCCACCTTCAGGCGTGAAAAAAAAAAACACTTCCACAAACAGACGGGGCAGGGCAGAGGTGAAGACACGAGCTAGAAAGTGTGACAGTATTTCAAAATGGTACTGCAAGTAGAAGTACAAAGAAGTGGTCCAAGAAATGACTCAAGTTAGAGTAAAAAAGTACTGGGGAAAATACTACTCGAAAATCAGATTGCAGGAGTGTCAAACTCAAATTGACACAGGCCAAAATTAAAAACTGGGACTAAGTCGTGGGACAAACTAAATATTTATTGAAAAATTTCAACAAAATCTGCATGTTTTCTCTTCTTTCTAGATCTGTACTGTTAAACTTTTTCTTATTAAAATAAATGTTCAGTAATAGTTTTGCTTAAACATTGAATCTGGAACAAGCAAAATATAAAATAATAACAACATTTTAAATAAATAATGTATCTATAGTCGATCTGTAGCCACGGGCAGCTCTAATACAGTTTTGATATGACCTTGCGGGCCAAATATAATTATATTGTGGGCCAAATTTGGTCTCCAGGCCTGAGTTGGACATGTCTGATTTATTGTGTCCTGTGGGAGAAATGTGTGGAGTGTGGAGTGACACTTTAGCACAGAGAAAAGAACAAACAGCAGCATGAAAGCCCCAAACAAATGTTCACCACAGAACAGAAATAAATAAAAGTGCAAGAATGATCAGGAATGATTCACTGTCAGGACCTTTAAGTCACACTTGTTCATTTAAAGAGGAACTGTGAGGACATGACATCTGATTTATAATTTATGTTAATGTCATTTGAAAGAAAAAACATTAAATATTGTACAAAATCTGGTATTTTCAAAGAACAGACACAAATGACACAAACTAAATCAGATCTGAAGGAGCAGCAAGAAACACAAATGTTCAAATCATTTCATTTTGTCACATAAAGATTTTGTCACAGTGACTTTTGCTCACAGCGCGAAGAGGAAGTGCAACTTTTACTCGAGTAAGATTACACTGGAAATTCTACAGCTCATACAAATGTTAATTTTACTTCCTTTTACCAAGTTACACACCATATTTGGTATCTGCATTACAAAAACTGAAAAGAGGAACTAGAAGTGAAAGTGAAAGTAATACATCATCTCTGTCGCCTGGGACCTTTTTTTTTTTTTTTACACTTTCTATTTCTGGATATACACAGTATCTCCAATTTCTTCTATTTTTTAGGCCAAAACTCAATATATACATTAATTTTACAACAGAACAGGGTTGTCAAAATTGAAAATCAGATCCTAATCAGTTCTTTGTATAGGTGTGTATATGTGTGTACATTTATGGAGTGTATAATGACAGGTAAAGCACTCCAAAGGTGTTTTAAAAAAAAAAAAAAAGTGTGAACCATGTGATTATGTAAAACAGTTGGGGTAGGACTCTATAAGTCTTTAAACTTCATCCTCCTCCTTTTGAGCACCAGGTCCCAAATAGGCGAGTTTCAGCTGACGTCATTGTTATTAAAAGCCCGCGTTGCATGCTGGGAAATATTTTGGTCGGAGGCAAGAAACACGGTAGTGGTCAAACACAGTGCGTAACTTCGCGTATTTCTCCCCGATAATGGTAAATTTCTGCTGCATTATCAGACGCACAAATAGAAGCACGGAAGAAGGAAAATGTGTTTTTCGTATTCTGAGTGAAAAGAACCACTAACGGTGAATTAAACGACTTTCAAACATCCGCAGAGCAAACGTAGAAGATCCTAACAAACCATGGACTCCAACAAGTTCAACAACACATCGAGACTCTTGGAGGTTTTCATCTTTTCTGCTGTGAATGGCCCAGGAGTTTCCACCAAGTCATTGTGGATATCGCCCAAGTGAATATTTGTCCAGGTAGTTGGTGATTCTGACCAGAAATTTGGTTTGGTCCACCTTTTGTCGGGGTTGAAAAGGGTGATTTGACGTCCGTCGATGCTTATGACCAATTTCTGGTCAATGGGTTAGGGTTAATAACCGGGATCAATACCGTGCTTTCTCGCTCCGTCCGTCATGTTGAATTAGTGTTTCTTGCCGCCGACCAAAATAATTCCCAACATGCAACGTGCGCTTTTGTCAACAATGAAACTCGCCTATATGTTCATGTACATATCCCTGATTTTTGTTATTGTTTTTGAATTGTTGTGGTACCTGCCTCAAACAAACAAATAAAAGAATGAATGAATGAAAAATAGTATTGAAACTAGACACTCATTTGAGCAGATCTTGATACAAAAAAATTACACAAATATAAGACACATGGGAATAGAAAAGAAAGTTCTACCATTTAACACTGAAAATCACATTCTACTGTCTGAATAAAGTGTTTTTATTCTCACTGTGGTATCAGTATCAGTATTGAGTATCGAGTCTGTTCATTAGTGTTGGAATGGAGTTTGAAATGTTAGTGTCATGACAAAACTACAGCGTTACATCATATGAAGAATGTCAGCTCTGTCACGTGGATCACATGTTGTTGGATAGATAGATGTATTTTCAGACACACCCTCCTCATCCTCATCAGCTTCTCAACCTGCAGCGCTGGTTCCACTGGTGTCCACTGTAACCAGTCTCTGTCGTCCCGGTTTAGGCTGAAAACTGAAAACACTCCACTTTGTGATGTCACAGAAAGTGCTCCACTGTGTTTTTAAACTCCACACAAATTCACTAGAATCACGTGGATAATTTCAGCCCTAGAATTGCCGATCTCTACTCAACTAAACAGAAAAGGAACTGTTCACTTGAAAACTACCACTTCATGACATTACAAGGGAGATGTAGACAGACTAATGGTAAATGGTCACATTTTTCTATAGTGTTTTTCCACCTTTAAGGTGGAAGAGTGGGATTTGAACCATCAACCTTCAGATCAGTGGACAAATGCTCTACCAACTGAGCTACTGCCGCCCTGCTAAAAATGCAGGATTATTCCAACATGTCTCCAGGTTTGTTTTTGAGGAGGTAACAACATTCTAACATGGTTCAAAGCTCACAAGAGTCCATTTTGTGTAATATAAGACCTTTAAAGACACACTTGTCTGTCAGGAAGCGTCCTCCAGCCGCTCATCTGCCACAGATGCTTTGCTTCGAATGTTCCACAATACAGCTTTAGGCTTTAACATTTAGACACACAGAGGATGTTACTTGATGATTCCTTGATCTGCAGAGGAGGTAGTACTCAGTTACATGAAGTTACTTGTGTCATTTTTGAAAGAAAAACTCCCACTCCTACTTAAGTTTTATTTTTACTAAAAGAACTACACTTACTTGAGTATAAGTTGTGCTTCCTCTTCCCACTGTGACTGAGTCTAAAGTGACAAACTTTATGTGAAAATTTGAAATGATTTCAACATTTGTGTTTCTTGCACCTCCTTCAGATCTGATTTAGTTTGTCTCATTTTTGTGTCTGTCCTTTGAAAACACCAGATTTTGTGCAGCATTTCATATTTTTAAAGTAGTAGTCTACTCTTCCCAAAAACTTTTTACTCTTACTTTAGGTGCCACTTTCTACGTCCGCTTAAGAATAGGGTGACCAGACTTCTCTATTTACCCAGGGCAGTCCCAGTTTTGAGCCTGTGTCCTCTGTCTCAGCAGATTTATACAAAACCACTGATTTATCTCAGTTTTATACAAGAATTGTCTCAGGTTTCCCTATTTTTGACCAATCTGATCTAAACCAGAACTACATCAAGTCTAAACCAGGACTAAAACCAGGACTATCACAATTTTTGACTAATCTGATCCTCGCCAACAGTAAAGAGGAACATAATTTGTTTTGCGAAAATACAGAAATCTGTGTTTGTGAATGACCATAAAGGGGGGGGGGGGTCAAAAATCCCTCAGATTATGACTGACAAAAGAATGAATAATGTTACACTCTCACAATTTTATTTTTACCAAACATCCCAACCCGAGAATGTACCAGTTTATAATTTTGAGAATCTGGTCACCCTATATAAGAAATACGTTTGAAGTAATGTTACTAGAGTACTATTTTTAGCTGCTCTTCCGCTGCTGGTCATTTTAAAACGCAGTAATAGTTTCCTAGTACTTTTATTGTGACAGAGCAGAGCGTGTATCCGGTGCGTGTGTGACTTGACGGTGTGCGGGGAGCGGAGCGGTAACCAGAGCGCAGCGTCGAGGAGCGCGCTGCTGTGTCCAGTCACTGCGTCTACTGCGGCTGGAGCGGCGTGAGAGCGGCGAGAGAGCGGCGAGCGCGCGTCACCAGCAGCCCACAGTGCCCCTCTACCCCCCCCCGCGCTGCCCCCCTCCCGTTCTCCCGACCCCTCCTCCAGCGCCGAGCCGCGTTCCGAGCGCGCAGGGCAGGATAGAGGAGCAGCGCGCAGCCGGGGGACGAGACACGGGCATGACGCAGCCGACGCGCGGATCGCTGTCAGGAGGAACACCGCGTTAAAGCAGCTTTTGGATTATCTGAGGGGGATTATACCTTCCAGTGGTGGATCTGGGCGAGGGAGCGGCGCGTGCTGGAGGTACAAGCGGGCCGGTGATGCAGCAGAGGCGGAGCGGGCACAGGCAGTGAGTCCGGGAGCAGGTGGAGGGCCAGACCGTCGCTCCCCAGCCGCCGCTCCGCCCCAGTCCAGCTGCATAGGCGCTAGTCCGGACCAGTTTGACCCGAGCCAGATGCGACGTGACGGTTCCAGCGCTCGCGTAGAGTAGGCACCCCGTGTGACAGCGCGTTTCGTGTTGCAGGTTTGGCTCTGCACCTAAACATACGGTAGGAGCATGGGTCTACCCCGAGAAGAGATGACTCTAAATATAGATATAGGCAATATTTAGTATGAAGTAGCCTCTGTAGCTTAGTTACTACGAGTGAGTTGTTGATAGAATAAGGTAGAGGCAGTGCATGGGTCATTCCATGTCACTGTGTTAGAATGTTACGATATTTTAAGACAAGTATAAGACTAAAATATATATAAGTAATCTATAGTCATAGTAGTACTCAGTTATACAAGTTAGTTTTAGATAGGAGCCCCAGTATAAAGTTAAACAGTACATTTTCTTTGTATGTTACTATAACGTGCAATTGCCTATATTTGTGAACCTTATGTCATCTCTGTCACATAACACCTGCGTTATTCAATATACTTTTTAATCAAAATAAGGCTGAATTTGCTTCTGCATACAAAGATAGGCACATTATTTGACTGGAATTACATTACATAGGCTGAAAACTTGAATTAGAAGTGAAAGTCATACGTGAATACATGGAAACGTCATCTCCGTCACCTGGTACACTGATTATTGAACTTTGTGGATATTTTTATTTTTTATTTTTCATCGAGCATTCCTAAATATTGCATTATGTTAAAGCCAAAACTACATACAAGATAAAGTTTACAACGTTAAGTCTTATGTGAATAGGCAGGAACGTCAACTCTGTCGCCTGGATCATACGTTATTGGATCTATTTTCTGGACTTGGATCTGCAAATTTTTGCTAAAATTGACTTATCAAAAAAATAAAAATAAAAATTGCTTTCTGCTTGAAACTCGTTGTGAAGTTTAGAATGTTGAGTCATATCTGAATACCTGGTTACATCATCTCTGTCACCTGGATCATATGTTATTGGATATATTCTGGACTTGGACCTTCTAGTTTTGAAGTTTTGATTTTTGCCTGCGCACTTGTTACTGAATCTCATCATAGACTAAAACGTAGAATGTCGAGTCATTTCTGAACACCTGGTTACGTCATCTCCGTCTCGTGGAGCGTGCCTACCACCCATACCCCGTGGACGTCACCATGTTACCGGGCGTGGGCGTGTTCGGCACCAGCCTGACGGCGCGGGTGATCGTGCCGCTGCTGCAGAAGGAGGGCTTCAGCGTGCGGGCGCTGTGGGGGCGGAGTCAGGAGGAGGCGGAGGAGTTGGCGCAGGAGATGGGCGTGGCCTTCTACACCAGTCGCATCGACGACGTTCTGCTGCACCAGGACGTGGACCTGGTCTGCATCAACCTGCCCCCTCCCCTCACACGCCAGATCGCCGTCAAGACCCTCGGTGAGTGTTCCAGCCTCATGACTTTTATATGTGTGCGTTTTATGTGACCTCTTTCGAAGTTTTTTATGACCTTCTTCTAACTGACAGGGTTCTTCTCTGACACGTGTGACATATATTCTCTGTTCACGTCACAAACCAGGAAAACATTTGGAAACATGCGATGACAACTTCCAGTGGGCTCTGTTTGCAATTGTACCATATTTTTCGGACTGTAAGGCGCACTTAAAATCCTTAAATTTTCTCAAAAATCCACAGTGCGCCTTATAATCCAGTGCACTTTACGTTTTAAATCTGGTTGTGTTTACTGACCTCGAACCGATTTTATGTGGTACACGGTACACTCAAAAATCTGTCAGACTGTTGTAGTACAACTTTGGTAAACTACAAAGCCGCACCGCTTGATGGATTGTCAGAGCATTACGGCTACAGTAATCAGGAGCCTTGCAGAGTTAGTCTGAAAGAAGCTAAACCACATCAGCGCACAAGGAGGTGTTTTTATCAGAGCTTATAGTTTCTGCAAATAATCCATGTGGTTTTAAGTTTTGTTTCAGTAAAACGTAAACAAATGTGCACAAAGCTGCATTAAACACATTATTACTCAATGAGTCGTCCTTGTAAGAAATAAAAAACAAATTTAAGCGATCCACCCACATTCACATTCATAATCCACATTCACAAAGACAGAGAGGCAACGATCTGCCGATGGATCATAGACGCCTGGACTAAGAATCAGTCTCAAGTGTTGTCTGTTTGTTTCACTTAATGCGCCTTATAATCCGGTGCAATTTATGTATGAAAATAGAATTCAACATTATTGATACTGCGCCATATAATCCAGTGCACCTTTTAGTCCAGAAAATACGGTAAATCTGACAAAATCTAGGAAAAATGAGAAAATGTTCCAGTTTTCTTCATCTCCATGTCATTGTAGTGTTCCGATATGTTTGACTAATCAACACTTCCAACCATACTTCAGTTTTCATCATTTCCCCACTGACACACATCTCTGTACTGGTGCAAAAATGAGAGCATCAAATTCCAGATGATTCCAAACAGCACATACGTCTGCAGTCTTCATTTTACCACTGATCACATTTACTTCAGTGGGTTTGATCACAGTCGGTCGGTGAATCCAGTGTCGGGAACTACACCGGAAGTTGTCTTCACATGTTTCCAAACGTCTTTCTGGTTTGTGACGAAAGCGTGAGTAGAGTGTATTTTTCATAGCACTCCAGCCTTTTTCTTCAGCCCTATTATCCTGGGAATGATATTTTACTGCTAGTTTTAAATTGTCTGCCATTGTAGCTTTTAGATATAACTCTTTGGATGTGAGACAGGCCGGATATTACGGTTCTGAGTGTGAAATAAGCTGTGGTAGCACTTTAAAACCTCAGATAAAACCTGCTTTTTTAAATGATTCATGATATTGACCACCAGTCTATGGCCTTCCACATGGTCTATGATTCAATCTGTAGCAATATACAGTAAATTTGGACAGCCCTGTTCTGTGAGTTTCTGGGGAAAATGTGTTGAATGTGGAGGAACGGACTTGGGACACTTAAGATCATAGATTAATAACTGTAATAAGACTGTGATACACAGAGAGAGACTGGTATTGCTCTTACAACACCAGTAGTAAACGCAGAAAGTCCTGATTTCTAAAGTTTTCTAGATGTAAATGTCACTTTGTAAGCGATTCAGGTGGCAGCAATCAAAACTGGGACATTGTAATTTGTCGGAGCCTTCCACTTCCACATTTTGTTCAAATGCAGAAGGGTCTGGAATGGGACCATGGAGCGTGACGAACCTCTGGCCAAACTTGGGACAGTTCAACTACAGCTGCTCATTTATATCACGTGTGTCTCAAATGCAGATGACATCTCCTCATATCATTCAGAACTAAATATATCACTTCTTTTACTTGAGATAAATAAGAGTTTAGTGTTTCAGCTGTTGATTCTGTAGAAGTCTGAGCCTGTTTTACTTCTTTGAGTGATTTTTGTTTTTTCTTTGTATGGACCTTGTGTTTTTGTGACTGGTTAATTCTCCTTCCAGACCCACTCGTCTCTGTAAAGTTTTGTAAAAGCCTGTGGGTCCCTATGCCTCTCTGTGCTCGCCAAAGTTGTAATAGTGAGTAAATAGTAAAAGTACCGTATTTTCTGGGCTATTACACGCTCTGGATTATAAGGCGCACTGTCATTAAATGATCTATCTTCGAACTTTTTTTCACAAATAAACCACACTGGACTTTAAAAGAAACCCAACAGTGTGATGGGTGAGTGGTTTTGTTTGTTTGTTCGTTCACGGTGACTCTGGGCTTTGTTCAGTTGTGGCGTGTAGGGAGGGTGTGTCTGGGACCAACAGATTGTCGGCGTGTTCACAGTGACTCAGTTGTTCAGTTGTGTCTAGAAGCGGCACATTGCACTCGCTTTTTCGGTTCGTTCCTCCGTTCTGTTCCTCGTCGGTGTGGAGTGATGAGTGTGTCTGTGGGTGTGTTTCTCTGTGTGGTCGCTGTCTGCTCCGTGTGTGTTTGTGTGTTCTGTGGGTGGTGCAGCTTTGTAGTTTACTGAAGTCGTGCTGGGACACCTGAGTGGATTCGTGTATAGGTGCTCTGGATTGTGGGGCGCAGTCTAATAGCTCGGAAAATACGGTAATGTTTTTTCTCAATAAAGAAAGTCGTTTAAATCCTTGTAGAGTTTGTGAAGGAAAAAATACTGACTGTTGTGTGTGAGACGGCAACACTGAAGGTTGTACTGGTAGTTTTTGTTGTTACCGTGATGTTAAATTCCACTTACACATTTGAAATTTTGAAAAACACCACACTTAAATGAACGTCTGATGGAAATACTTAAAGTGGAGATATTATACAATTTGCAATTTATTTGCAATTTATTTATTTATTTGAGACAGGGACAGCGCACAATTTTCGCATTAACCTTGACAGGAGAGATGCATTGTACATCAGGTTGTAGCATCAGTGCTAATTTCCACCTGTTGTCCCTGGACAGGTTCATTGATTGATTGTATTTAACTGACCTTGACTATCAACTGTTCCGGAGACCTGTAACATGTTTCTATAACATATTTAGATCACCATGTTATCTTTTATTGTTCTGTAAATGCGATGTACTCCGAAAACCAAACAACTATTTCACTTTCATTTTTCACATTCTGAGGTCCCCCCCCCCCCACTTCCCCTTCAGAGCATCGTCACAAGCAATCAGCGTGCACCCAGTGTTGGGGAGTAACAGATTACATGTACCAGGATTATGTAATTGGAGTACAAATTATGAGTAACTGTATTCAGTTACAGTTACTGTTTCTGTGAGTGGTAATTGGATTACAATTACTTTGATAAAATAAATGGATTAGACGGCAGTATTTTCCTGTTTTGAGCTGGGCTATATCCCATTTTTTAAAAAAAATTATTACTTTGGTAATTCCACTCATTGCCGGAAACCCAAACAGAACAAGCACAAAAAGAGCTGTGTCTTATTAACGTTTGTGGCGTCGGTCACTCAGTGGACGAGGTTGAGGAGCCAGTAGAACAGAGCCACCAGTGCACAGGTAAAAATGTATTCATGTCCTCAAAATTCAGACATCAGTTCGTATTTAAAGAAGAAAGGAACCGCGCTTCCTCCTGTGCACATCTAAACCAGAACTAACACCAGGACTAAAACCAAGACTAAATTAGGACTAAAACCAGGACTAAACCTGGACTAAAAGGCAGCAGTGATCTCATATATAAAGCATTTCTCTATCAATAATATTTTTAATCTGTTCAAGGAAAGACTGGACTTTTTATTGTCTTTTAACAGACAAAACTTCTTATGTTCAGATTTCCTAGTCTTTGCTTTTCTACAACAAACCTGTTCGTGGAGACTTGGGCTCAACAGACAATTTGAAGAGAACAAACAAGAATTTTCAGGATGTGGTTGGTACATTCATGTCGTTTTAAAAAGCATGACAATATCAAGTAATCCAAAGTATTCAGATTATGTTACTCACTTTAAGTAATTTAATGGATTATGTTACAAACTACATTTTGGGGTATGTAATCTGTAATCTGTAGGGGAATACATTTTAAAAGTCACCTTCCCAACACTGCGTGCACCCCACTAATGAAACTACTGCACATCACATCAGGTTTGTGTAGTTGTAGTGTGTTTTGTATCATGTTTTTGTATATTTTTGGAGAATTAGCGTGGGAGCATGGGGGATGTAGACTTGTGGGCCCAGAAGAGATCACTTAATTACTCAAACATGCAAAGTCAACTTCTAAAACCTCTTCAGGCATGTTTTTTGACAAGGGAACAGCGGTAAAGGTCTAGTTTGCATAATACCCCCTCTTTAAGTGGAGTGTCTTGCCCAATGACACTATGACAGGTGGTAAAACTGTGATTGAACTCATTACTTTTGGGTTAAAAGATGAAACTAAAGTGATTATTGCATTTCTGAGAGTGAGTACTGCATACTGACACAAGGAGTACACCTTTTTCACATCAGCCGGAAGTAGGGATGGGCATTCGATGAAATTTTCTTAATCGATCGTCGGAAGAATTAACGATCGATTATCGGTTAATCATTAACGTTTTTATATTAAAATGATCATCATTATTATTAATATCTGCACTACTAATCTGCATAAATAAATTCTACTTTACGACGTATAAACTGTGACCGCAAATCTTTTTCCCACTGGACACCAAAACATATGTGCTGCTTTATACACTGTGCACATGGACTCACACTTGTCCCAAACGCAACGGAAAGTGTGGAATTTCTTGTACAAATCATCGTTAAATACACATTTGTGCTTCGGTACGTTGCAGACTGACTGTGTTTGCTCACTCCTTCTAAGTGCAGAGAGCTACATGTACGGACCCTGTTTGGTCACACAGCAACCTACATTCAGTTTGTCGATTAAAATTAACGTAATCGATGAAATTCTTAATGATCAATTATCGATTAATCGACTAATCATGCCCATCCCTAGCTGG